TCTGCTACTGTCAGCGGACAGAGATCGATCTTCGAAGCTCGTCGAGATGAACTTGTTGGCGTGTGGCTCCCATTCGACCTCGGCGAGCTATCGCCCATCTGATACAATGTACCCTACTCTTCCACGATCGAATAAGGCAGAAACCGTGGGTCAACCGTAGCGACTCTGGAGAGATAACGTGAACCACGGTGCATCGCAAGGCTGCACTAACACTGCCAACAATTCGAATATAAACCTCTGAGAACCAACGAACTCCAAAACCCTAGTACATTTTTGTTAACTTCTTGAATCATATTCCATATCTGGATAGCACCAGCTCTATCCTGGAAACTGATTGCCAGGTCAGTCTGAATGAAGAATACGTGCAAACAGCCGCGATGCGGAGCTCGTATTATAAATGTGATCAACATTACGTTTAGATGCACGACTACACAATTTGTCGCAAATTTAGTATATGATACTTATTAGCAACTCTTCGCAAGCCAACTATACCTCAGTCATACAGAGTGAACTACTACAGTAATACATCATCAATACTCAAACACAGTACATGGCCCTCTTGTAGGTTTTACATTCCATAGAAGCTCAGTTGAGTCGGTGAACAGAGAGTGCCATATTCCGTACGACTCGCTTAAGAACGACCCAAGCACCATCCTATCGATTACTACCTCTTTTTGGTTGTTCTCCGTCCATATTAGTATCGATGGAGTATGTCTACTATAACAGTCCTTTGGCTGTACATAACTTTGCAGTATCAACTTCTCTGGATCACTATCTTCCCCAATAGAATCCTCACTGTCGGATCCAGACCTTTTTCGACGTCTCTCTGGAGCCACCTAAACCGGCATCTAAATAGGGATTTCCTATAATGCCGGTCCTGTTACCACAATCCAAGCGGCAGGCCATCCATCCTCGACGCTTGCTGTGCTGCCCTCAGCAATAACAACATCAACAAAGCCCGTTCCTCTGTCAACCCACTTCGCCCCTGCATCCAAGCTATATATCTGCCGAGTATTTGGAAATGCTGATAGAAAGAAAACCTCCAGCAACCTCACTTTCGCACGCCGCTCCGGCCTCCCGATAACATCTGGATTAATCTCGACGATTTTGGATAGCTCCAAAGGTACAAGATTCTCCAGCCCCGGCGATGAGGTAGGACTGCCGGATCCTCGGGGTGACCTGATGTCATCACACTGATAAACTGTAGCAGTACCGATACTAGGGTCGGCCAATGTCGCGAATTTCGACTTCGTTCGCTCATGTAAAGATCCAAACAATGACGGTAAGTCTCTCGCCTTCGTGACAAAGATCGAGGGACGCTCACCCAGAGATGTCAAGGCTTGTGATCCCTTCAACTGCCTTGACGATTCCATTCGCGCCAAGATTTCCAACTCCTGCGTACCCAACATGAGCCGCCCCTCACTACCTCAGGGAGGAGGAGTCCGCCTTTAACTCCTCTTCATCGTGTCGAGGTACGGGGCCTGTCGGAGGCGACGGCGTCCGACTTACCTTGAGCCGCGTGCCTCCAGGAGGCGATGGTATTGGTGGGGGCATCGAGTCTCAAACCGAATCAACAGCTGCCGACCAACTACTAGATTTTGCTCCTTGTAAAAGATAGTAGTTCGAGAACAGCACCAAAGTTGTTCAGTGTTGACCAAATTTTAATCACTGATTTCCTATTCCCTACTTCGCGCGTAACACCGTGCCTCTGCCTCAGACGAGATAACAGCGCTTAAATAACACTGATCATGGATTAGTGTGTTGGGTATTTCAGATAACATCAAAGTGTCTTACAACAAGCTTCGAGTTAAGTCAACTTTCGAAAAAAAAGGAGGGACAGATTTCAAACCGCGCGCGCCCACGGATTAACTACTTGCGATGTGATTCCTTTTGTGACTAAGAGTGCGCCACCGACGATCTGAGTAAAGCCGTTGGTCTTGTTTGTATAATGAGTAGCTCATAAGTGAATACAATGACGCGCTATCCGACCCGAACTGCTCGCATGTTCAACAACAAGGATGCATCAATATCCGCTCTCAAAGTTTCCTTCTTCAGAGTAGCATGGGCGTGTGCCAAATCAAAGCCCGCACGGGTCTCGGAAAACCAATGGACTGTCAAACACTTCAAATCAAAAACTAAACCTCATCACACGGAAAAAAACGTTTGTTCTCGAAAAAATCCTAGGCTCAGCACTCACATTGAAGATGCTGTAGAATACTTGGCGAGTATGAGACGTGTACACACGCAAATGCAACTTCTGTTTTCGCGAGCTCGGGAATTCCGGAATTTTGACAGGTGCAAGTTACCTTTTACTTTACAACACAACACTCACTGAACTCCCTACAGCTCGAAGAGCAACACTCATCTATCAT